TCTTACAGCAATGTCAAAACACCAGAACCTTCCTCCCTGCTGTCTCTTTTAAGAACAAAGAAAAAACTCCCCTGTAATCCCCTCAGCAGTTTCCCCTCAGTCTCTTTGGTCAGAGGTGCAGCCTAAGCCCTTTCCTGCCCCAGGCAAGGAGCATGGACCTGGCTGATGGACATCTCCACAGGATTCCAACAGGACACTAATTTTTCTCTGACCACTATATTCAAAACTGTTCTCCCCCTGATGACCTTTCACACAGACCCTTAGCTTTCCAGTTATTTTCATGTAGAAAACCGAGTCCTGCTCCGGTAATTCTGACTATTTTTAGGTTTAAAAGATCCAATCCAGTCTATATCAAAATTTCCATCTCAAATCCCCTTCTCAAACCTCCTCTGTCCCTCCTTCCTGCCCTCCCCTCAGGCCTGACCCCTGGCGGGGGTTCTGCAGTGAAGAAGGAGGCACAAGCCGCTCCTTTAGTTTTTTCTCTACTTCCTTCCCCTCTGCTGCTTCTGATGTCAGTCAGAAAGGGGATTAGAAGAATGAGAGGAAAAGGGACAAAAGTCTGAAGTCACTGATACTTTTATAATTCCCTTACCTCTGTGTGGCAGGCACTCAACATGCTGGCTGGCTGGGTGGGGGGGTCAGGGGGGGGCGATCACAGTCTCTTTGGAGACTCCCTGTGGGCCTTGCTACACCCAGGACCCTGCTGAGGGCGTTTCTGTTGGGCTAACCTTGAAGGAAGCTCCCCATAGCTCCTCAGGCCACCCTCGGCCTCTTACTTTGGGTCCCTCCCCCAGACAGGTGCCCTCTTGGATGGGGACGCTCACAAATGATGAAGGCTGCTGCCCCCCAAAATGGCCCCTTGTCCCCAAGGAAATGCACACCCCCAGCCCTGTCAAACTGGGAAAGCAGGCACCTCGCGGCTGCCCTCTCTCCTGACATGATGAGAGCAAGTACCACAGTCCAAGTTCAGGTCCCCCCCACACTCCTGGGGACGTCCTGCTGAGCACCCACATGCATGCTCTCAGGCTCCGTGCTTTGGTGGCAGCCCAGGAGTAGCCCCACCACATTCTGCAGCTCAGTAGGAGGCCAGCCCTAGAGCGCTGCCAGGTTCCCCTTCTTGTAATGTGGCTCAGGTCTTGGAGCTTCTCACTTGCTGTGGGGAAGTGGGTGCTCATCTTCTCCACACTCACCCTTGTGTCTGCCTACTCTGACCACTGCTCCCCACTTCCGGAAAATTCTGATTTCTGGCTTTGTCCTCATATAGACTGGTCAGGGTAGGGAGCGAGAGACTAGCTCTGCTTTTTTTTGGGAGCCTAGAGAAGGTGTCTACAGCTCCATGAGGCTCTCTCTGGAACGTAGGGCGACTCTGTCACCTATCGTCCTCAGCTCGAGTCTTTGGCCGAAAGGCCATGGCCACAGACCAAGCCCCTTTCAAAGTCCTGTTTCACCACGATTGGGTTAGACGAGTCCAGATTTACCCCCAGGGGTTGGAGGAGGGACAGGCCACTGCCCTGGAACAAGACCCAAGTTGTGTTAGCAAGAAAGTAGGCAGAACAAACTGTTGGGTGGCACTCGAAGGGGTTTGCAGCAAACCTGTATGACTAGGTGGAGCCAGCCAGGTGAGGAATAGGGGGAGGGTGCTCCTGGCAGGGGGAGAGCCAGGGCAAAGACCTGAGAGCAGGAATGACCTGGGCACGTTCCAGGAACAGCAGCAAAGCCCACGTGGGTGGATGTGGTGGGCGACAGGCCACACAGCATGAGATGACTTGAAGAGGGTGGGGCCAGGCCACAGGGGCCTGTAACCGTGCTGAGGGCCTTTGGATCTGATCCCAAATGTGGTGGGAAGACACCGGATGGTTTGAAGCAGAAAAGGGGCGTGTGCTGACTTCCCTTTTCCCCGAGATCACCCTGGCTGCCTTGTGAAATCCACCTATAGGCTAGCAGTAGAGGAAGCAGGAGGCCTCCTAGTCCTGGGGAGAGACCAGGGCGACTCCGTGAGGGCCTTGGAGGTGGAGAGAAGCGTAAGGACCTGCGCTCTGCTTTGGTGATCCTGGGGCCAGCCCTCGGTCAACACAGGAAACTTCTGGGTTCCCGGACCTGCTTACGCTGCTCCTTTGGCCTGGAATGTTGTCTGTGCCTCCTAACACACTTACTCATCCTCCAGGCCCAGCTGACATATCATCTCCTTTGTCCAGCCTTCGCAGCCCCACCCGTCCCTGCAGAAATGCCCCCTCCCTCTCCCCTCAGCTCCCACAGCTCTGGGTAAGCTCCACCCTGCGCACTGAGCACATCGGGCTGTAGTCATTTGTTTACTCGTCTGTCTCTCTCCCTGGATTACGAGCTTCGGGAGCTCACTGTCTCCTTTCAGAGACCACAAGGAGACAGACACATGGGAAACTGCTAGACCCCACCAGGAAGTACATGCCTAAGGGACAGTAGGTGGCAGGTGCTGTAGGTGGCAGGGGATTGTTGAGGTGGCTCTGACCTCTCTTCCGCCCGCTCTGAGCACCAGTGCCCATTTCCAGAATTTTCCTCTTGGTCTCCCCTCTCCCTCAGCCCCTAGGGTAGGTAGGAATCCAGCCTAGAAACGGGGAGCTCGGCCCCCTTCCTTACCCCAAACACGCACACTCACGTACACGAACAGTCAAGCGCCGACCATCAGTTTCTAGCCATCTCTCCAAGCCCTTCTAGAAACTGGCACACTGGTGAACTCTGTAAACGGCCGATGAATGAGTGAATGAATGAATGGCCGGAAGGCCTATCAGAGTCAGTGGAAACGGGGACAAGATCAGTCCGGTGGTGGCTCTAGAGGGGAGTTGGGAGGGTGGGTGCTCTCCTAAGCCTGGTGACAAGCCAGCTTCCTCGATGCCTCACCACCTCCTGGACTCTCCTCACAGGCTTTGGGGCCGTGGGCTGGGGGACCTCCCCTCACATCCGCTGTGCCAGCCTCCTGCTGGTCCCTAAGATGCTGGGCAAAGAGGGCAGGCTCTTTGTGCTGGGATATGCCTTGGCCGCCATCTATGAGGGTGAGTGTGCCTCTGGGTACCAGTTAGGGACACTGAAGTAGTGGCCCTGGGTGGGACACCCCATGGGAGCCAGGCCTGGTGCATGAGGAGGGGTGGGAACTAACCCCAGCTGCTCCACCTTGCTGTGTGTCCCTGAGCGAGTTCCTCCCCACCTCTGGGCCTCCTTGGTTTGCACAGGTGAAAAAAATCAGGGTTTGAATGCGATGGCCTCTCCCAGATTCCTGGGCCTCATCATGTGCAGTTCTCAGGGAGTCCCTGCGTGGAGGGGGGCGGTTGGGGTGGCCTTCAGGAAGTTATTAGCTCTGGAGGGAGGTGACCCCCTCCCCGGCCTCTCTCCCCAGGACCAGCGGCCAACCTGCGGCACAACCTCAACGAAGTGGTGGCGTCCCTGGGTTGCACGGTAGAGCTACAAATCAACAACACACGTGCAGCCTGGCGTGTCTCAACAGCCCCCCTGCGTGCAGTGTTCAAGGGCCTGCTGGTGAGGACCCCTGGGCAGGACCGAGGGGTCCCTCTTCCCGGGTGGGCCTGGATGACTTGAGCTGGGAGTCATGACCCTGGACTTACGCCTTCCCAATGGGGATACTCCTGGCGTTTTTTGCAGGGCTGTCCCCAAATATTGCAGGATGTGCCCTGGTCTCTGGGCACTAAATGCCAGGACAGCCCCCGCTCCCAGGCATTGGAACATTCCCTCTTCCCCACCCCCCCATTTCCAAACACCTGAGTGGGTGGTCCCCTGAACAGCTGAACTCAAATGTCAGGAAACTGGGGACCTTGGCTTTGAGGATTCCAAAGCTTTGAGGACCAGGGCCTTGGGAATTGGGTGTTGGAGACAAGGATGGGGGTTGGGGGTGGGGTACGGGG